CAGCCTGGAACCTACTCTGTGTCTGGCTTCCCCGCTTGGTTCTTCCCAACTCTCCCCACTGGACTTCTCCTCACTCTCAAGGTCCCTCTGCAGCAGCAAATGTGGCTGCTTGAACAGAGAGGTCATTGATTGGGAAACAGTGGTACTCAGCAATAAGAATAAGCTCTCTCCCATGCTCTGCAGGGCCAGTGGGTGGTCGCCGTGGGACCGAGCTCAGCCTGGCCAGAGGAGTGTCCAGGGACAGATGCCTCTCACTCTGCAGGGCAAGCTCAGAGGCCTCAGGCACAGTTTCGGAAATTGTGATCCAGGCTTCTTCTTCTTCTTCTCTCCTCTCCTCCTCCCTTCCCCTCCCCTGCCTCTCCCCTCTCCTTCCCCCTCCTCCTTTTTTAATATATTTAAACATAGTACAAAACGATTACAAAAAAATACCAAAAAGAATGAAGAAGAATGTAAGTTTCCCTTAATCTCAATAACCAGAGATAAGTTGTATGTTTTGTTGTGATTACAGAAATAATATATATATAGTCATTGTAGAAAATTTCAAAAATAAAAATATTAAGAAAAAATGTTCATTTATCTATCATTCAGAAAGTGTCATTTTGATGTGTTCTTTTCTGTCTTTTTTCTATGTACATTATTTTTTTAAAACAAATGAGATTATATCATAAATATGGTGGCTCTTTTTCCCATTTATTTTTATACTATGAGCATTTCTCCAGTAATTTTTAAATGCATTTCTGTTTCTTTTTTACTTTCAATTTTTAAATTTAATTTCTGAATAGGTTATATGCCTATGTGGTACAAATCTGAAAAATATGGAAGAACTTGAGTAAATAATAAGTCTTCCCTTCATTAGCCACTTTTTCTCTCCTTCCTTAGTCTATACATTTATATATACATGCACATAAGTAGTAGGTAAGTTTTTATGCCATACTCTTTTCATTTAATATATTTAGGATATAGCGCAACAGCATTATTAGCTAAAAGAACTGCCTCAATTCTTTTTAAGAGCTGCACAGTATACTACATTTAATATCTGTACTATAGTGTATTTACCCCATATTTTACTGGTAGACCTTTAGGTTGTTCCAGCTTTTGCCACTAAGACAATATTGTAACAAGTCTCCTTGTACATATATCATTAGACAAGTGCAAATGTGTCTACAGGTCAAGTTCCTAAAAGTAGAATTCCTGGGTCCAAACTTTTTGCATTTTAAAATTTGATAGCTATTGTCAGTCATCTTCCAGGAAGGCTGTGGGATTTATTTTCCCTCTTACAGAGCATGTGGGCCTCCTGGGAGGCCCTGATAATCCTCTCCCACTATTCATATCTGAAAGTGTTCTCCTCCCACATTAAATCAGAGCTTTTAATGTGTTTAAGAGGATTTGTATTTTCTTTCCTATGAACTTGTATTTTCTCAAAATATGTCAGTTTTCATGGAGGCATAATATTCTACTATATAAGTTTAATGTGACTAATTTAACCATGTCTTTATTATTAGACACTGAATTGAATTTCCACATTTTAACATTAACAATACTGGAATAAACATCAGACATCTTTGTCCAGATAGCTGATTATTTCCTTAAAGGGGATTGTTTAATTACTGGCCCAAAGTGAGTGATGAGACAGAATATATGTAACTGGAACTGTGCAGAACTCTAATTTTTTTTAAGGCTCCTTAGACATACTAGCCAGCTCCTTTTCATAAAAGTTTCATTAATATATACTCCTACCTGTAATACCCATCTCACTCTCTTTCTTCACCAAAGCGAATATTATCATTTAAAAAAAATGTTGCTAATTTAAAAGACAAAAATTGACCTTGGACTACCAACATTGCTTTTGAAAAGCATCCTGATCGAGAACCCTACCTGAAGTTGGGATTGCATCAAGAGATGATTATGTATTCAGTAGGGGCACCTCAGGGCTTCCAGCATCATCACAGAATCCTACTGTCACCAGACTGTCACCTGAAATGAACCCAGCTTGCACAATAGCATAAGAAAAGGCAGCTGTTAGGGTTGTAAGGACCATAGAAGCTGGGCTCCTACTGCTCAAAGCTTGGCCCCAATGGATGCCAGATTTCTGGGGCAGCTCTGATTACACATATTCTGGTCATAATCCCACAAGCACACGCATGGTTGTCAGGCCTTGTGTTCCCAGATGGGGTGTGGAAAATGTGGCCGCAAATCTCATTACACATGCATTTCCTTGGCTCCCAGTCCTCAAATCAGAAATAGCAGGGCAGGTGGTAGAGGACAATCAGGACGTTCCTATGGATGGAAGGGTGGCTACAGTCCAGGGCCTTGTCTGCTAGCTGAGGGGCAAATGGCTCCTGAAGGGAGACCCAGGGCCCTGGGGAATGTGAATTTCCCCTTCCTGGAGGTTTGGAATTCTCTAAGTCTCAGGAGGTCCTTTGATAAGGCCTCACACTGAGAGGAGAGTTCATGTAATATTATTTAAGCGGCAGGCCTCCCTTCCTCCCCAGTGTCAGTCACGTGCTGCGGAGCACTCAGGATCCTGCCCTCTTATCTGACGTTTCCTCCCAATCTTGCCCTGGACATTCTCATGGGCTCACAGCCCACCCTCTGTTTGCTGGCCCTGCTTCCAGCATGTGACAGCCTCCAGTTCCCCAGCCTGCCGCTCTCATTCGGAACTGGTAGATTGCAGGCCTTCCCTGGGCCCTTGGGGTATTAATAGAAGTAGGAAAATATCAGTCTGCTTCCCACACCTCGAGTTAATTCAAACACTTTGGGCCAAGGCACACCAGAGGCCTCCTGGCAAAGGCTCAGCCTTCCTGAGACAATGGCTGTAAACCTATAAACCTATACATGTAGTGACTACATTGTCCAAACAAACCCAATCAGGACATCTAACAAATTAGGGGTATCTCTGATTGTACTATTTCAGAAAACAGCACATTTTCTCATAAGGGTGAGAAATTATTTGGCAAGTTCCTTTTATGTGTGTGTGTGGGGGGGATCACTTACAAATAAAATATAATGAAAATATTCTCAGAATATTAAATTTTGTCTTTCTGGGAACTTCTTGACCTATTACCTAATAAGCAAAGTCATCCATGTTGCCTTAAGAAATAAAGGTTTTGAGGGGACGGATTCATAGAGCATTAAATATTAACCCTTATAAGTGATGGTACCAAAAGGTGGATCCACTATACCCCCAAAAAACACACACACACACTAAATATCATTAGTGTTCCCTCAGTCACTCCAATTAAAAACAAAATTTAAGTTAAAGTTGAACCAACTGTGCAAACTCAACTTCTAGACAGGTTCCCAGCCTCCATTTCCCAATAAGATTGCTTCCTCTCTAGACACCCCCTCATTACCATAGATTCCCACTTGACCCAAAGCAGCAGCACAAGATTGTACTGTTTAGTGACTCTATTTCCCGTGGGCCAAATATGGCACATAGTAGGCCCACTGTAAGTGTCTGTTGGATTGAAATGAACCTTTGTGCAGTGTCTTGGTTCTGCCAGCATCTGCCTCATAAATGTGTTGAATCTTAAAAAAAAAAAAAAAAGCAGACCTTCAAATATCTGAAGAAATTATCAAGTTTTATCTAAATGTTCTCCAATTAAAAATTTCCAATCTCTTCAACTATGCTCCATGAGATAGTCATCTGTTTACTCGTTCATTCATTTATTCATTCAGCCATCCATCTGTTCATTTGATAATTGTCTACTCTAGGCCAAGCAACAATCAACTGAGATACACCATGTACCACGGAGACACAGAGAAATACGATTTGTTACAGTGGAATTGGTTTCTATATTTCATCATATAATAATTTTAAATGGAAATAGAATAAAAAGGTCAAGTAAAAAAAAAACAACTCAGAAAGCCTAAAGAAATTATTCCCTTTTGGTGTCTGTGTATTGTATAGATAGTCCTGAAATTCAGAGCCAGTGCATTCTGAAATTCCACTATAAGTCAGTTGCTTGGAATGTAGATCCTGCTCCATATAGGCAGAAACAATGGTGTACGTGGAGATGACACCTCCCACCCCTTGAAAATCCAGTGAAGGAAGAAGCACATACTGAAGATAACAGGCTGTACATTTCCCACTGAATACTGTTAAAAGGCATTCTGTGGCCACACTTGTGATGATTAAACAAAACAGGAAAGCAACAAAATTCAGTAAGAAAATTATTTTTTCTCACTTTGCTAGTCCTTGAGGATAAGCAGGTATTGTTCTTTCATCATTCAAAAACCATTTCAGGTGGAATTTAGAAAAGGATAAAAAAAGTGTTGGTGACATTTGCAGAGATTCTGAAAGGCACTTCTGGGCACTGTCAAGGCACTCAGAGAGTTATGTGTCTTCTTTTAATTATGAGTGATTTCACTTTTGAATGCACTGTTTCTCTTTTCCTTGATACAGGTATACTACCAACATGATCCATGCACTGACTGCCTGAGCATGGCCATTTTGGGGGCTATGAGTCAAATGGAACCAAAATTATTATTATGGAATTTTCCAGAGATAACTGGACAAGAGCTAATAAACAATGGGAGGAACTCAAAGAGCTCATAGGTATGTAACAGAACTAAAACAATTATCTAAGTGCTGGAAAAGAAATGAAAAGAGGAATTCATTAATGTGTCTACGTGTGTCAATAAACAAGGCAGACATGTTTTCATAATTCTACATGAGACAAAAGAAAGGACGGGAGACTGGGGAGGAGACATGAGTCAGCATATTCGCCGTGTTGGCGTCCACAAGTTCCTTTCAGCTGAAGACGCGTTTGATTTTGGAGAGAGAGATCTGGGAGAGAGAGGGAAGAGAGAAGCTCTCACTTGGGTTGGAGGTCCTAGAAGACGCATCCCACCATTGTCTCTTTGATTTAAGAGAGTTTGGAGTTTGAACTGGGCATCCAAACTCCAAAAGAATCTATATGCCTTGAACAAAACATAAATGCTTAGAATAACTGCATAAATTGTGAAGAGATAAAAAGCTAAAAGTAAATATGACTAACCACTGTATTATTTCTCCATCTCATATTACAGGATAACCCAGCATGGTTCTCCATGTGTAGAGGCTCTGCAGTGGATCAATCAGTCTATTGGTCAAGTCTTTGTTGAACTCCTTGAGAAGGCATCATAGAAAACAATCCCCCAGGGAGCTTAAAATTAAATAGAGAAGGAAACATTATTAAATAATAAGCAGCTCATAGTAAATTACAGGTGTGGAAAGGAACTAAGAAAGGGCTTTGCTGAAGTGTGATGCTTAAGCCGAATTCTGAACAATGAGTAGGAATTAGGTAGATAAAGAAAGGATGACACAGCTTTTCAATCACATGAAAGTATGTGGTAGGTCCTAAGGCAGAAGAGAACTCTGCATGTTTGGGCAACAGGGAGAGACATTATGTGACCCGGTGGGGGAATGAATAAGGAAGTAACTGGCTCAAATTGAGGCTAGAGAGATAAACTAGATTATATAGGTTGGATAGCTTAAGAATTTTAGATGGGGAATCATTCAACTACTCTAAGTTAGAGAGAAATAATAGTTTCAAGCAGGAAATTCATTAAGTTTCCATTTCTAAAAGATCATTTTGAGGGTGGGACTTCCAGCGTCAAGAGCTCAGTGGTCCCTCTTCCCAGCAAAACAACAATTTAACTGGTGAAAATGATTTTAAGAAAACAACAATTTAAAGTCTCTGGAAATTATCCTAAAGACATACAGCAAATGGAGAAACATTCATTCAAGAAAATCCACTAAATCCTGTTAAGAAAAATGAGCTACCACCCACTCTCTTACTCACTCCCCGCTCCATGTTATAGAAGCTCAGGTGATCAACTCCAGGCAGCAAGGGCTGTCAAGAAGCAGCTGAGAAAATGAGAAATCCCTCTTCCCCCATCTACTAGTCTGAAGTTATAGGTTCAACCCAGGAGGAGTATGCTGCTGGGGTTTCTCATCCAACACCACCCTCCTGCCCTACCATCAAACTTGTATTGCAGAAGCTCTGTTCCAGGCAGTCATAGCCAAGAGGACCAGGGCTGCCTTTCTCCATCCAGCCCCCACTTGTAGGGTAGAAACTCTACCCTAGGCATGGAGAGCTGAGAATACTGGAGCTCCAATCATACCCACCCCACTCCATATACTCATGGAACAGAGTTTTCATGCCAGGAGGGTCAAACCAAGAAGATAAGGGATTGTCACTCACTGTCCCCCCCCACCTCCCAGTGTCCTTTTGTACAGCTGTTACCAAAACAAAAGTGGGTCTCCATCCCCAATTCAGGTGCAGTGGCAGGGGTTATGCTCAGAGGAAGGGGTAGGCCATGAAAAGAACTCTGTAGGGCTGACTGGAACAGAGAGTGGAGAGCTTCATGCTGAAGACGGCTGTGAAAATCACGAAGATCAGTGGAGCACAATGAAGAGGTGGCTGGTAGCTTCCTTATACAAGCCAGGTAGCAGAGCAGATAGGAGTTTAATAGAGAGAATAAAGAGATAGCTAAGAAGAGGCCTCCTGGGGTCACAGTGAACTCTGGGGTCAGGAAGGCTGTGCGCATGTGCAAGTCTGCATCCATGCTGGCTCAGCCAGAGCGGAAGCTGGGGCAGACCTGAAAGCATTCCATGAGCCATGCACAGGCCCATCAACATAGGGTGAAGCTTCAATGGAGCAAGAAGAAGGTTACATACAACCAAATGCTGACTAAATAATATGCTCCTCTGCTCCAGAGGCAACACCTAAGAGGCCAAGCTAAAAATAAAATCACACTCATTCTTGGCAATCTGGAAGAATGTGTGGTGCACAAGACTGCACCCTTTCAGGGGCGGTGAGAGAGGAAGTTTCCAAGTCACCAGTCCTGACTGACTGTGGTACAAACATGAACTTCCTGAATTGTGATGTTAGACTGCAAAGCATACACTCGTACATCTAATAGTAAATGGTAAATAATCCAATTGGCTAAGGGAGCTTAAGCATAACCTTTGACTAATATGTGATTTATGTTGCCCAAGGAGTGGCCCTTAGGTATCCAGGTTAAAAGATAAAAACAAGGGGGGGAAATCTGCATAGGTATATTAGAGACTACACACTAAAAGAGAAATAGTCTTTGCATAATTAGTTCAACCAAGTCACTAAAGGAATAAGCAAACAACCAAACAAAAAAAACACAAACAACTCCTCCCTGGGAAGGGGGCAACAAGTTACTACAATATAAAATCTAAAATGTCCCATTTTCAACAACAACAACAAAAACTGTAAGATGAAAAGAAACAGTAAAGTGTGACCCATATACAGGAAAAAATGCAGACAATAAAAACTGCCATTCCAGGGGGCACAGGTGGTGGAATTAGCAGACAAAACTTCAAAGCAGTTATTACAAACGTGTTCAAAGAACTAAAGGAAACTAAACTTAAAGAATTTTTTAAACTATGATGATAATGTCTTATCAAATAGAGAATACTAACAAAGAGCTAGAAATTTTTAATAGGATTAATGGAATTCTGGAGTTCAAAAGCACAATAATCAAAATGAAAAGTTCACTAGAGGAGCTCAATAGTAGATTTGAACTGGTAGAAGAAAGGACCAACTAATTTGCAGATACATCAATAGAAGCTATGCAATCTGAAGAATGCACGAGAAAACAAGAAAATGAACAGGCTCTCAGGGAAATACGGGACATCATTAAATGCACCATCATATATGTTATGGGAGTCTCAGAAAGAAGGGAAAGAAAGGGACAAAAAAATTACTAAAAAAATTAATGGCTGAAAATTTCCAAAATTTAATGACAAACATTAACCTACACATCCAAGAAGCTCAACAAGCTCTAAGTGGGATAAACACAAACAGATACACATCCAGACACATCATAGTCAAAATGTTTAAAAACAAGGAGAAAATCTTGAAAGCAGGAAGAGAAAAAATTACTGGTCATGTACTAGGCAACACCAATAAGAGTGGAGGCCATAAATATTCATTTCAAATATTTCATTTGAAATGAAATATTTAGGATGCTAAAAATTTTTTTAAAAACCAAAAACCTATTAACCAAATATCTTATAATAATAAAACTATCTTTCAAAAATGAAGGTGAGGTAAAACATTTTCATATGAACAACTGCTAGTAGATATGCCTTACAAGAAATACCAAAGAGAAAGTGAAATTGAAGACTGCCAAACACTCTTATTCCTGACTTCAGCTTTTCATAAAGGTGAGGCCAGCCCAGGTCAGAGTGACTTCATGCAAAATGATGGAGTAGGAAACTCTAAGAGTTGGTCCCTTCACCAAAGCATATATGAGCTCAAAAGAGCTGCTTGAATAAACAATTTTGAAACTCTGGAACCTGATTGAATAGGTATATTAATAATAACCAGAAGAGTGCTTGTTTCAGTAGTTTTTTTCTTTTTTTCATCATAAGAGAATATGGTGAAGAGGTTTATGCTAATAAAATTCAAATGAAATTACCAATCTAGGAAAATATATCACCAAGATTGACTCCAAAATAAATGGAAAACCTGAGTAGACTGATAGTTATATAAAAAATTGAATAGCCAAATCTCTCTCCCACAATCAGCACCATGTGTTATGAGTGAAGTTTACCAAACCTTTAAAAAGAGAGAGAACATTTCTTACATAAGCTTTCAAAAGAAGAGAAAAAGATTATAAGATACTCAGTTTGTTTTATGAGCCTAATAAAACATTGATACTTAAACTAGACAAGGATAGTATAGAAAAAGAAAATTATAGACATCAATAATCTAGACTCACAAGTCCTTTTAAAAACTGGCAACTTGAATAGAGATTTTATTAAAAATAAAACAACATGCTTAATTTGGATTTATCCAAGAAAACATGGATAATTTCACATTAAAAACCCCTATCAATTAATTTAAAACATTAATATATTTTTAAAAGCATGTTATTACCTTCCAGTTTGGTGTGTTAAAACCCTCTACTAAAAGCTCACCTTTGTTGCAATATATTCAACAATACTTTTTTAATATTTTAATTTTTTTATTATTTTTAATTGTGCTAAAATACATTCAAGATAAAATTTTCCATCTTAACCATTTTTAAGTGTACAGTTCAATAGTTATAAACATATTTACATTGTTGTGCGATCAATCTGTAGACTCTTTTCATCTTGCAAAACTGAAACTCTATATACTCATTAAATCAGTCTCCAGTCCCCACTCCTCACTCCACCCAGCCCCTGGCAACCACCATCCTACTTTCTGTCTCTATGAATTTGACTATTCTAAATACTGCATTTGTTTTTTTGTGACTGGTTTGTTTCAGTTACCGTAATGTCTTTAAGGTTTATCTATGTTGTAGCATGTGTCAGAATTTCCTTTCTTTTTAAGGCTGAATAATATTCCATTGTATACACATATCACATTTTGTTTTTCCATTCAACCATCAATGGACACTTGGGTTGCTTCCACCTTTTGGCACACTTGGGTTGCTTCCACCTTTTGGCTATTGTGACTAATGCTGCTATTTGTGACTAATGCTGAATTTGGGTGTACAGATATCTTTCTGAGACCCTGCTTTTAATTCTTTTGGGTATATACTCACAAGTGAATTTGCCAGGTCATATGGTAATTTTTTTTTTTTAAAGATTTTATTGGGGAATCGGGGAAGGGGAACAGACAGGTAGACAAATTGCTGTTTTGTTCTTCAGTCTAGTTGTGGAGGACGTCGCTCCACTGGCCCATGTTGGTATGATCATTGCGCTCTTCCCAGGTGAGGCAATTGGTCGCCGGCCTCTGGACGGCTGCTCACGGCAGCTCACAGCAGCTCTCACCTGCTGCTGGCTGCTCAAGCTGGCTGCCAGCCACTCACATAACTCAAGGCAGCCCACTGCAGCCCCGCTGCAGCCTATGCCGATGCCGGCGACTCACAGCAGCCCAGCTCCAGGTCGAGCTGTTGTTCATCATCTTAGCTGTAGAGGGCGCAGCGTCACTGGCCCTCAAAGTGGGATCCGAACCGCGGCCCTGCTGCTCAGAGCTGGTACTCCCATGCGAGCTCTTAACCAGCTGAGCCACTCAGCCAGCCCCATATGGTAATTCTATGTTTATGTTTAGAGAAATCGCCATGCTGTTTTCCTCAGCAGTTGCACAATTCTACATCCCCATCAACAGTGCGCAAGGTTCCAATTTTCTACAGTATT